CAAAATATCTTCTTTTTTATTCTGTCGGAGAAACACAGTTTTGGAATGACATGAGGGCGAGTAAATAATGAGCAAACACTGTAGATGTCCCAAACTCTTTTTAGCGTATGAAGAGAGATCACATAATCTTACATTTTAATCAGGCAAGAGTGATTAAAATGTTTGGAGAATAGATCACAAATTAAGGTTGAGATGAAATTTTAAACGTCTATCGATAGGTTAACACAACCTGCACAGTTTTCAGTTTCTTTAGTTAGACACAAGCCTTGAGATGTTTACTGATGGCCCATGGCATTATGGTTGTAGAAGGTTGGCATTTAATGCCGGAAGATTGATTCCTCAGATATTTGAAGCTTCTTTGAGTGCCTGGTTCACACAAAGCATTCAGACTTGTGAAATAGTCGGGCATATGCATGTAACCTATATAATTGAGCAATTTAGGCAAAACTGCACTTTTCTCATTATACTGAACTAAAGGCACTTCAGTCTTTAATTATACAGCATTAAGGCACCTTTACCAGTGCAATTACGAGCAATTATCGTAGTTGTTATTTGATAAATACAGATGTAAGTTAGCAATTAAAATAGAAATCTACCTGCTAATTATCAGCCTATTACTTTGATATCATATTACTCTTTTCCACATGCAACCTCGCACAAAAACCTACACCATCAGGCCAATTTATCGGTATGTGTATTTTTAAAACATGCGTAAAAAAGTATCAAGTTCACCCCAGTTTCATTAATGCGTCAGCCCCTAATGAATTGACGTAAAAGTGAACACAAAGTAGTCAGTGTGGGGGCAAACAGTCAAATGCAGTTTGAGTGACGCATTAGTCAATGTGTGATGCACTCACACCCAAAGAGTTGACATTTTACCCATATTGTTGTTGTTGTTCATAGGCACTGACTCCTAAACGCTCACTTTACTTTGACTGATACATATTCTCAGGGTGATTGATTGCCTCGTATTAAAATACTTCAGGTAAATATCTATAAATACATGCAGTGACATCAATTTCAGTAGTATTGTGTTCTCCAGCCAGGTCTAAAAATGCATCTTGGCAGTCAACTTGAAGAAGGTACCTTCCTTATGGAGCTTCCACTCTGGAAAACGCTCCCACACACACTGCGCTACAACTCTGGAGCTATTTCTGTCGCCACCCCCATACAACTGTACCAAATTACCAAGTGTCGGCAAGAAATAGAGGCAAAGCGTGTCACTGCCGCGCACCAATGGGATCAATGGGGGAACGAAGCGAGGGATGACGGAGAAAAGAACGATAACATGAACACAGATGGAGGGAGGTGGAGGAAAGGTTGGAGAAATCAGTCACACAGACACATGTTCGGCAAGCTGCTGTGCCACTTTCCTCCTTAGTAATTAGATTCAATCAAAGTAAATGTTCTGCCAGATCCCCCGATTCTAATTCTTTGGTTATTTTAGTCTTTTCTCAGAAAACCCCCGTATAGAATATATTTAACGGCCATCTGTCATCTTGGCTTGTGCATATTCAGGTAGGCAAACTTTTTAATAGGACTTTCTAAACAAATCATCTTTGTCGGATTAGAACGCAAATCTTATACACCGACATGGCTGTAGGAACAGGTTTAAAACATCAGGCATTGAGTTCACATCTAGGTTAAAGGGAGAACATCTTTCTCCAAAAATTATAATTATTAATGTTATTAAATACTGTTAGTCAAAACTAACATTTCTTCAAAACGGTTAAAGTCAAATGCAATATTTGTGTGAATAGTCTGCAGTGTTTTTGGCAGACACTCATTCTGTTGTATTTTAGGCCAAACCACTCTGATAAAACATTGTGACTGCTTTAATGTGGTATGTATTTGGTGTCATGGCACGTCTTTTGCAGTTTAATAGTGTGGTATTCAGTAATATTATTCTTACTTTGAGGATAAGTGAGATTCATGGGTTAGATTTTTGATTCCTAGCGTCCCGGGTGTAATTGTAAAGTCTTCGTTTTTCATTGGCGGACAGAGCATAAATATATATTTATTATTTAAAGCTGCAGTCCGGCGTTTTTCCTCTTTGTCGCCATTCGCGGAATTATCAACTTTAAGTGAGTTGTGCTTCAATACCCTTGACACGGCACAGCGCCGGAAAATCTGAACTTGTGTACAGATGTAACGTTAATGACTCAATATAGCTTATACTAGCCGAGACTCCTTCTTTATGTGTACAGATGTGACTCAATATAGCTTATACTAGCCGAGACTCTTCTTTATGTGTACAGATGTGACTCAATATAGCTTATACTAGCCGAGACTCTTCTTTATGCGTACAGATGTGACGTTAATGACTCAATATAGCTTATACTAGCCGAGACTCTTCTTTATGTGTACAGATGTGACGTTAATGACTCAATATAGCTTATACTAGCCGAGACTCTTCTTTATGTGTACAGATGTGACGTTAATGACTCAATATAGCTTATACTAGCCGAGACTCCTTCTTTATGTGTACAGATGTGACGCAATATAGCTTATACTAGCCAAGACTCTTCTTTATGCGTACAGATGTGACGTTAATGACTCAATATAGCTTATACTAGCTGAGAGTCCTTCTTTATGTGTACAGATGTGACGTAATGACTCCATATAGCTTATACTAGCCGATACTCTTCTTTGTGTACAGATGTAACGTTAATGACTCAATATAGCTTATACTAGCCGAGACTCCTTCTTTATGTGTACAGATGTGATGTTAATGACTCAATACAGCTTATACTAGCCGAGAGTCCTTCTTTATGTGTACAGGTGTGACGTTAATGACTCAATACAGCTTATACTAGCCGAGACTCTTCTTTGTGTACAGATGTAACGTTAATGACTCAATATAGCTTATACTAGCCGAGACTCCTTCTTTATGTGTACAGATGTAACGTTAATGACTCAATACAGCTTATACTAGCTGAGACTCTTGTTTATGTACAGATGTGACGTTAATGACTCAATATAGCTTATACTAGCCGAGACTCTTCTTAATGTGTACAGATGTGACTTAATGACTCAATATAGCTTATACTAGCCGAGACTCTTGTTTATGTACAGATGTGACGTTAATGACTCATAGCTTATACTAGCCAAGACTCTTGTTTATGTACAGATGTGACTCAATATAGCTTATACTAGCCGAGACTCTTCTTTATGCGTACAGATGTGATGTTAATGACTCAATACAGCTTATACTAGCCGAGACTCTTCTTTGTGTACAGATGTAACGTTAATGACTCAATATAGCTTATACTAGTCGAGACTCTTCTTTGTGTACAGATGTAACGTTAATGACTCAATATAGCTTATACTAGTCGAGACTCCTTCTTTATGCGTACAGATGTGACGTTAATGACTCAATACAGCTTATACTAGCCGAGACTCTTGTTTATGTACAGATGTGACGTTAATGACTCAATATAGCTTATACTAGCCGAGACTCTTCTTAATGTGTACAGATGTGACTTAACGACTCAATATAGCTTATACTAGCCGAGACTCTTGTTTATGTACAGATGTGACGTTAATGACTCATAGCTTATACTAGCCAAGACTCTTCTTTATGTGTACAGATGTGACTTAATGACTCAATATAGCTTATACTAGCCGAAACTCTTCTTTATGTGTACATATGTGACGTTAATGACTCAATATAGCTTATACTAGCCAAGACTATTCTTTTTGTGTACAGATGTGACGTAATGAATCAATTTAGCTTATACTAGCCAAGGCTCTTCTTTATGTGTACAGATGTGACAGAGTACCACTGGAGTTAAAAACATTATTACAAGCTTACCGTTTTGAATCAAGCTACGACAAGCAGATAGTTTTTTCACACTCGCTGGGTATGTATTTTCTCAAATATGTATTTTGGATAAATTTTAAAACCAAAAACGCTACGGACTGCAGCTTTAAATGCAAGCATGTGTGCTAGTAGATGCCAAAACTACCCTATTTAGGCCCCAAAAGCAACTTTCTTCATTAGCTACATTTTCATCCAAAGTTGCTAAATTAACTAATGCATCTTGAGGTTTCCATTCAATGTAATTTTATGTGATATCCCCAAAATGCACATACAAATGTGGATGGAAACATAATATTTAAAATCAGGTAAGCAGTCTATATGCCCAATATTTCATAATAGGGAATGTTTTACCAGTTCAAGAAGATTTGGGATTGTTAGCGTTCTTGTGTCGCCATCTGCCAATGAAATCTAGAGTAATCAGTCACATGTCATTTCCAGCTCAAGTGATTGGTCAAAAAAAGTAGCCGAAATGAGCGTCCATGAGCAAAGATGGACGATTTCAAATCGCATTAGGTCAATACTAATGGATGACTTTCTCCAGATATTATTCAAAAGTTATTACACACAGATAGACAGAGAGCAGGACAGGCAGACAGGGATGACCGAGGCAAGAGTAGCTTTAAGAAAAAACAATACACAAAGGGATTATGGCCTAAAAAGTACAAGATGTAACTGCCAAAGTGTGGAAGAGGAAGTGATCAAGAGAGCAATGACAGACATGTGTGGACTGTTGCTGGGGGCAACCTCTGTTCGGTCACCTTACGACAGGGAGGAAGCATTGTGTGAGCAAAGGTTTCTATTAATAGGAGCAGCGGGAGAGAGGACAAGAGCGTACGTGTGTGTGTGTGAGCAAGCATACGCGCATGTGTGAGCGAGCGCAAGGTACGCGAGGAGGAGGAAGCAGATTGTGAGAATGAGACAGTTACTAGAGAGCTAGAGGGAGGGATGCAGGGAGAGCGTAGCGGAGGAGGGAGCGATGGCGTGATGACGCTGTGCGTGGCGTCAGAGCGATAAGAATAGAGCCGGTGCGTGCAGGGCTGCTGAGACATCGCTTTTAATACCCACAGCTACTACAGTATATCGCTCCCTGAACAATGTGTGTGTGAGTGAGTGAGTGAGTGTGTGTGTGTGTGTGGAGGTGTAGGTATACGCACAGTAAAAAATGAATATAGAAATGCCCTGTGATGAAAAGATTATGACTTGGTGCTTTTATATTTGGAAGCATTCTTGACTTTTTAAGAGATTAAGGAAAGATACACAATGTTCATAAGAGGGAAAAAGTACAAGAGGAAGTACGAGTCATGCTGTACGAATTTTAAAAAAATGCAATTAGGCTGCTTGTTACAACTTACAAGGGATATAGCAACATATATCCCAGGTTGAATTTGCAGCTCTATTAATCAAATGTGTAAATGTGTTACAACGCTTTTTAGATATAGATTTTTTTTTTACATTTTGTCATCATTTACCTTCATTACAAACCCGTATGTATTTCTGTCTATTTCGTATCTGTGGAAGACAAAAGTAGATATTTAGCAGAATGTCCAAGCTGCTCTTTTCCCTAACTGTAGCAAATAAAAGTAACTTGGACATTCTGCTTAAATAACTTCTTTTTTGGTCCACAGAAGAAAAAGTGTAATATGCGTTTGGAACGACATCAGGGTGAGTAAATGATGATAAAATGTTAAATCACAAGTAAAAATCTCTTTAAAATCTCTTAAATGTGAATGTATGTGGGGTAAGGGGGATTTCATGTTTTGCATCAGGCGGTGTTGAACTACATGGTTATGGACCCCGACTGATGGAGCAGTGAGTGGGTTGATGAGATAGAAGGGGGGAGATGTAGGAGACGTAGACCCAGGTGGATGACGTCAGAGCAGCCTTGGCCTAGCAGAACTGTCCCGCTGAGGTGTCGGGTCTGGACAGGCTCACACAGCCAACAGCTTGAGCAGCCACTGCACAGAGATCAGAGAAACAATTCAGTAAACGTGCTGTGCACACTAATAAATATACAGTATGCTTATATTGTACATACATGCTATAGATGCATATAACCTTATGGATAGTTCACCTAAAAATGTCATTTCTGTCATGGGTGTTTGGCATGGTAATGGATATGACAATGTTGTTATGTTTGGTCTTGGTGAAATAGATACAATGCTGCAGATCAAGGACAGGACTTGCTACTGACAATACACACTATCTAGTTTAAATGTTTGGTACTCCGCCCAAACAAAATCTTACTGAAAGCTTTTTTTTTTTTTTTTGATTAACCCAAAATTGGAACACAACTTTGATTTGATTATCTCGCAGTTTTAGAGTAAAAAATGTTTTGGAAAATACATATTTCATGTAAAAATTTTAAATAGTATTTTTGTATGTCTTCTTTAAAATGTTGTCTTTAAAAAGAGACCAAACTAAAGTCTGTGTTCCAAAACATTCAAGATTTATGACGATTAAAATTGGAAATTTCATTCAGGTCTATGCTCAAAAAGTAAATAAATGGATTATAACTACTGCATAAATATAATTTAGTGTCATAAAATATCCACAATACAAAATATTAAATAATAAATATTATAGAATTAAAATATAGCTAATTTATTTCCTTTTTTTATTTTTTTTATTTTTAGGTTTTTAATAATAATAATAATGTTAGAAACCAAAAATACTTAGAGACATTTCTCAAAAATGTCTTTTATGTACCACATAAGAAAAAAATACAGAACAAAAGGGAAAATTATGACATAATTTTAGGTGAATTATCCTTTTAGAAAGAAATCAAAATAGGATTTTTTTTTATTTTAGTATTAATATATATATTAATATTAATAATATAATATTAAATAAAAAACATTATCGAATTAAAATATAGCTCATTTATTTCATTAAAAAAAATCTAAAATTTTCACGCGCTGTAAAAAGCACCTGAGGTTTTTTACTCACATGTTGATCTAAACCCGTATTACTTTCTTTCTTCTGTGGAATATAAAGATATTTTGAAAAATGTTAGAAACCAAAAATTTCTCAAATATGTCTTTTATGTTCCACATAAAAAAAAAAATACAGAACAAAGGGGAAAATTATGACATAATTTTGGGTGAACTATCCTTTTAAACCATGTCTAGGCTTGAAGAAATCAAAATGGGATTTATTTATTATAGTATTAATATATATATTAATATTAATAGTATACTTTTTTTTTTAAATCACACAGCTTGCCTTGTTTACTGTACTTTTATTGACTAAGACACATTTATATCAAATTAATATTGACTATACCTGTACATGCTGTGTGTGATTGATATTATTATTTGTGTTAATCATTTTAACATCAGTCAGAGGGGATTCGAAGATGAGTGTAGAAGAGATTGAAAGAATTGAGCTGGTTTTGACAAACAAGGCAGTTGGAGAAGATCTTACAGCGTTGATGCCCTTTTCCTTCACCTCCGGGTTGGTCTCCGACTCGTAAAGATCTGAGAAGAAACAATCAGCAAGCTGAATCCTCCCAATTAACATGTTTACAGACAATCCGCACACACTCGCATCACTGATAATGACGTCACGGACAGCTTTGAAGCTTGCCAATAAACATCATGATGAGATGCAGTGCTACATGATTATATTTACCTTCACACTGGATGCAGATAGCGATAACCGTATGTAAATGCTCATACCGTAAATTCAATCGAAGCAAAATGACTAGATATAATCAGTGCCTACTTTTAAAAGGTACAAATTTCTAATGAGTAGCTTAGGAAAAAGTGACGTTTATGCATAAAAAGCAGGTTTTGTATTCAACCCTTTCTTGCTGCCATACAATCACACTGTACGCACGAAACTTGACCCCTTCATCTGAACGTCACCAAATTACTTTTTACACAAGGAAATGTTTTTCCAGTCTTCTACTGACAAGTTTTGATGAGTTTGTGTCCACTGTAGCCTCTAGGCTGACAGGAGTGGAACATGATCTGAAACGTCCACCGCCACATTTGACATGCAGTGTGTGTTTAGAAAGGCTCTTCTATATATATAGCGCTGCTGTAACGTCTGGTTATTTCAGTTACGGTCACCTTCCTGTCCGCTTGAACCCGTCTGGTCATTCCCCTCCGACCTCTCTGAATAAATAGGTATTTTTGTCCACAGCACTGAATGTGTTGTGTTTTTTACACCATTCACAAAACAAAACAAAAGATCGGCAGGTTTTGAGAAACTAAAACCATTGCGTCTCGCACGAGCAATCATTTTTACGGTGACTTAGATTATATTCTTTTTTATATTCCGTATTTTAGTTTCAACAACAACTAATTGTCATTCAAATGTGTGAATGCCTTTATGATACGCTGCTGCATGATTGGCCGTTTGGATTATTTGCATTAACAAGCAGGTGTGTCTCATAAAGTGTCCACTGACTTCACATGTTTTATAAATAGACACACCCTACCGTTCAAAAGTTTGGGCTGGGACAATTTTGTTATTGTTTTTGAGCTCTCTTATGCTCAAGGATGCAATTATTTGGTCAAATGAGTATAGTAAAAACACTAATTTTGTGAAATATTATTACTGTGATGCAAAGCTTAATTTTCAGCATCATCACTCCTGTCTTCATGTCATGTGATCCGCCGGAAATCATTCTAATATGCTGATTGGAAACATTTCTTATTATCGATGTTGAAAACATTCGTGCTGCTTAAAGGTGCAGTATGTAAGAATGACAACTAGTGGTCGGAATAGGTACTGCAGTCACTTCAAAATATGCTCGGGTTGCCAGTTTGAGCATACGCGACAGGAACGAGCGCGATGGACAATGAAAATTGTGTGCAATATCAAAGACCAAAACAAAAACAAACATTCCAGCCTGAAAACGCACATTTGAAAGTTAAATAAGTGTTTTTCAGAGAAACGATTGGCATGTTTTCTCAATATATGCAAACATATTATGGTATTTTTATGCTTTAGTGGAGTGAAAACGTTACATACAGCACCTTTAATATCTTAACATGATCTTAATACTTTGATGGACAGAAAGTTCAAAAGAACTGCATTTATTTGAAATAGAAATCTTTTGAAACATTCTTAATATCTTTACTGTCACATTTGATCAGTTGATCAGAGTAAAAGCATTCTTTTAAAAAATCATACTTATCCCAAACATTTGAACAGTATTGTACGCTATTCACTTTCTGAATTTTAGGCATTTAATTAAAAAAAAATATACCAGTTCTGATCCTAAATAATTTAAAATGCTATAAAATTTAGTCAGAATGCGCTTTTTTTACTGTTGAAAAAGAATGGAAATAAAGGTTGCCAGAAAACACTACTTGCATGACGAAAATACACTGTGAGAGAAAAAATCTATAGGAAAATTGGTGATTTTCTGCCAGAACATTATCTGTTCAGTTTACAGACATTTCCTTAACACTAAAAAACTAAATGTAATGCATAATTGAAAAAACGAGTAAAACACCAATGAAAAATGTATATTAACACATATATAAACTTCCTTTAAGGAATGATATAAAACATATCATCAATGAAACATCTAATGCACATCCTTTACTTTTCATCATGATGTATTAGAAGTCCTCACATCTCTGTAAAAATGTAATTAATTACTCAAAAACATATATTTTTTTTTTTTATCCTAACCAAAATCGTTTTGGCGGGACTTGATTTTGTCCATTGTGAATTGATTGGATCATTATGGTTTGCTATTGGTCATCCCATGTGAGTGACCGGTTTCCCCGCCCTTGCCATTAGAGAAAAGATGTCTTTTGCAAGAGGGAAGGGAAGTCATTTTGATAAAAGAATATGAGGGCACGTGATTAAGAAAATAATAAATCATTTCCAAAAAAAAAAAAAAAAAAAAGAATTGTTAATTTTGATTTCATGGTGACTTTAAGTAGTAGACACTTTCCAGGAGCACAAATAGACACATTTTAAGTTCCCAGTAAATATGGGCGGTTATTTATTTTATTTTACCTGGTCTCTCAGGTCATGGAAGGACTTACCGAAGAGCACCTGCAGTCTGGCAACACAAGACACAAAGCCATAGAAGGGCAGGTACTGTTCACCAGCGCCAAACCTCTCCCATAACATCTGCTCCACCACATTGTCACACTCCACACCTGAGGGTAACAACAGACACAGAAAGAGAAGCAGTTAATGTGAGAGGATGTACATTTCTCTTTGTTTATAAATACAGGGTGTGGTCTTTGCGTGTGGCGACGTTCACAATCAGTTTTGGGAGTAACAACCACATTTACTTACAGGTGTCAGTCTCGAAATGTCCCGTTCACACTGCAACTTACAGTAGCGTCTCGAATACTGTCTGTATAAACGGGCAACCGGAGTCAAGCCTGTATTCTCCAACTAACCCATCGGTTCCCAACAGGGGGGTCGGTCACGAGCGGTTGCGAGCTCTGTGGAGGGTCGCGTGCGCGTCATATTTTGAAAAGTTGAGCAATGAGCAAATAAAAGTCCTTAACTTTTTTCTGTTCAAAATGTACAAAATTCATATAATGAACGAGTTCATCATGAATCCGTTTTTCAATCCGTGTTTTTGTCTTATCCTGAGCCGTTATGGTACACCTATAATAAGTGTTTACATTGGGACTATTTTACACTGGTTCGGATCGCTACCGCTGCGGAGTAGCCCGGTATCTGCGTGACTAGTCATAGACGTGTAGAGAAGTAGTTCCGGCTACAATGTTCTTCCGGCTACAATGTTCTTCCGAAAGACGCATTATTCTGTTAATAAACGCAAGTTTATTATCGCTCGTATTAGCGCCAAAACCGTAAAAAATAAACCCTCACAAATAACTTGCCCCAGACAACAGTCATTTAGTAATAGCCTATATTCTTTTCTTCTTCTTCTTCTTTTTTTTTTTTTACCTACACACCACTGTGAATATTTTTGTTATTGCATTTCAGGGCCAATTTATAGGCTTCTCCTAGGCTTACGTTTTTAAATTACAAAGGTCCTACTGATGTTTTAGTTATTGTATTTTCAATATTACAGGCTATTATTTGTGCATAAACATACCGTATGTTTGAAAACAATATATTTTGTTATCCTTGCTGCAAGCTTACAAGAGCGATAATATCATTTACTGTGAAGGGGGGCCCTAAAATATTTTCTTGAAAAATAAAAAAAAAGGTTGGGAACCACTGCTCTAACCAGTAACCATCACGCCAGTGAACAAAAGTAATATCAAAGATGGCGACGTCCATAAAAATGAAAAGTCTTTTGATACGACAAGAGTCCAAGACTCGAGCCACAAGTTAAACCGTCGATCTTCCAGTGTTTATATCTGGTGGAAATCGGAGCATTTGAGTCATGAGTAGAGCAGAAATCTGACAGAAGCAGCTGCGGTTGGTCTAAGAGCCTTGTATCTTAGCGAAACCACACATGAAAACACACAAGACTCAGTAGACACGTGTTTGTGCAGCACAGAGCGGCTCTCTCTCACCGTAGGATGTGAAAGAAAACTAGTCGTCCAGGCCAGTTCTGTTCATGGATAATGCCTGAAAATTTACAGGTGTGAGTTTGGTTATAGAATGCGGTTGTCACTCCCATAAATAACTGAACTGTGTGTGAACATAACCGCATTAAGGACTCAAAAACAGGCCTGACAACTGCATTCGGCTGCTGTGTGTGTGCTCACCTGCAGCATTCAGAGCCAAACTGAGTTCAAACGGACTCATAGTTCCTGACGAATCCTCATCAAACTGAAAAAAGATAGACTGTGGAAGAAACGAAATGTCAGCAAGTCATTTCCCAATGTTTTCTCAGCACTTGAAAGGAAGCCAGTGATCGTGATTTAGCTTCAATATGACACTGGCACAGAGCTCTAAAGCAGTAGAGTTCGTCAACAGGATAAACAACAACAACATTTCAAGGTCTTTTTGTCTGTGCAAGACGAGCTCCATGTAACCAAAGTACACAAACTGATAATTGTCACAGCTCAGTGTCCCCACTGCTCTCTCTAACACTGTGCCAAAGCCGAGAGTGACCTTTTCACGCATGAGAACTGAGATACCTGCAGATTGCGTAGGGAGGTGAGCAGCTTCTCTGCTTGAGCTCTGTTCAGACGGCCTCTGCCTCCAGTCTACACACCGCCGTTAAGAATATATACAATGGGTGAAAAACTCTAATGTTCATAGTATGTACACAGGCATATATATATATAAGAAATAAGGTACGAGAGGCTGTGCTGTATCGTGAATAAGTAACGGCTGAAGGGCGTTGTTAGGCTCGACGCGAAGCGGAGTAACCCCTTCAGCCGTTACTTACACACGATACAGCACAGCCTCGAGTACCTTATTGCTTTTATAAAACGGTTACCACACAATAAAAATATTAAAGTAAAAAAAGATATATGTATTAGTGCAACTTTCATTAAGTAAAAATCACTAAAACATTTCCTTCCGCTCGAAAAAAGTAGTCCCTGACTGTGAACAACAATAACCCAATGTGTAATATATGAAAGCTCAAATAAACACGACATAGGAACTCGATGTTGCGCAGTGATGCATAAAACCGTTGGGTGAAGCGGTCATAGCCGTTTCATCATGAATAAAGCACAGCTATTGACCAATCCGAATCAAGGATTGGAACTAACCGTTTTATAAATATATTACGTGAGCACAGGTGAGACCTATGGAAGCTTGTTTCCGCCACTGAATAAAAAAAAAATAAATAATAATAATTACGACTTTTTATCTCACAATTGCGTGTTATAAAGTCAGAATTGCGAGATATAAAGTCACAATTCTGAGAAAAAAAGACAGAAGTGCGACTTTTTATCTCACAATCGCGAGTTTACATCTCGCAATTCTGACTTTATAACACATAATTACGAGTTTATATCATGAAATTGTGACATCTTTTCTTAGAATTGTGAGATATAAACTCGCAATTGCGAGTTATCAGGCTAATTCTAAGGAAAAAAACTTTTTTGCTCTCAGAATAGTTTATATCTCACAATTGGGACTTTATATCACACAATTCTGACTTTATATCACACAATTCTGACTTTATATCTCGCAATTCTGACTTTATATCTCGCAATTCTGACTATATCTCGCGATTCTGACTTTATATCACGCGATTCTGAGTTTATATCACGCAATTCTGACTTTATATCTCGCAATTCTGACTTTATATCACACAATTCTGACTTTATATCACACAATTCTGACTTTATATCTCGCAATTCTGACTTTATATCTCGCAATTCTGACTTTATATCTCGCAATTCTGACTTTATATCTCGCAATTCTGACTTTATATCTCGCGATTCTGACTTTATATCACGCAATTCTGAGTTTATATCACACAATTCTGACTTTATATCACACAATTCTGACTTTATATCTCGCAATTCTGACTTTATATCACACAATTCTGACTTTATATCTCGCAATTCTGACTTTATATCACACAATTCTGACTTTATATCTCGCAATTCTGACTTTATATCTCGCAATTCTGACTTTATATCTCGCGATTCTGACTTTATATCACGCAATTCTGAGTTTATATCACGCAATTCTGACTTTATATCTCGCAATTCTGACTTTATATCTCGCAATTCTGACTTTATATCTCGCGATTCTCTGACTTTATATCACGCAATTCTGACTTTCCATCTCGCAATTCTGACTTTATATCACGTAATTCTGACTTTCCATCTCGGAATTGCGACTTTATATCACGCAATTCTGACTTTATATCTCGCAATTCTGACTTTATATCTCGCAATTCTGACTTTCCATCTCGCAATTCTGACTTTATATCTCGCAATTCTGACTTTCCATCTCACAATTCTGACTTTATATCACGTAATTCTGACTTTATATCTCGCAATTCTGACTTTATATCTCGCAATTCTGACTTTATATCTCGCAATTCTGACTTTATATCTCGCAATTCTGACTTTATATCTCGGAATTGCGACTTTATATCTCGCAATTCTGACTTTCCATCTCAAACTTCTGACTTTATATCACGTAATTCTGACTTTCCATCTCGCAATTCTGACTTTCCATCTCGCAATTCTGACTTTATATCACGCAATTCTGACTTTCCATCTCGCAATTCTGACTTTATATCTCGCAATTCTGACTTTATATCACGCAATTCTGACTTTATATCTCGCAATTCTGACTTTATATCTCGGAATTGCGACTTTATATCTCGCAATTCTGACTTTCCATCTCAAACTTCTGACTTTATATCACGTAATTCTGACTTTCCATCTCGCAATTCTGACTTTCCATCTCGCAATTCTGACTTTATATCACGCAATTCTGACTTTCCATCTCGCAATTCTGACTTTATATCTCGCAATTCTGACTTTCCATCTTGCAATTCTGACTTTAATTCTCAGAATTGCGAGATAAAATGTCGCAATTACCTTTTTATATTTTTCATTCTATGGCGGAAACAAGCTTCCATAGAGACCTGAACAGCACGTTACTATATGTGTTTTATGTTACTAAACTCATTTAAGCCTAGCCAATTTAAACATTAAAACACAAGAAGACAAGAAAGTGCACAAATATTGAGTCTTGTGCTTTAACTTCACACAAAAATGATGTCAACATGCCGGTCTGGGCAAGTATCCTAGCAAACATAGTAGGTTATGTCTTAAATGAATGTAAACAGTCGATCAGTATCAGTATCTGTGTATTGTGTCTTAAAGTGACAGCAGCCTAATATTCATGCTGCCTGTGTTTTAATGTTAATCAAAAAACAAAAGACAAGCAAATCATTTAGCTACTGCTCTTGACTGAATAGCTTTTAATAACGATTAATCTTTATTTAATTTACACAGTGAAGATTAAATGCAATGTTGTTTTAAATTCGATTTCTGTACCTGAAACTACTGTTAGATCCCTGAAAAGCACTATTTTTTTATTTTATTTTATTTGCTCTGTTGTATTAATTTGTGCTGTTCCTTTCTTTATTTTTATTTGACAGTAGTCCTTTATTCCCTGAACATAGCACATACCTTTTATAATCTTTTGTACCATTAAAAATGTCTTTCATGTCACTTTTAATTAGTTTAATGCATCCTCTCTGAATAAAAGCATTCATTTTATTAATTAAAAAAATATTATTGACCGAAAACTTTGAAACAGGAATGTAAAAGGATATATTAAAACATTGCAATCAAGATGAAACATCAAGAAGGATACGTCTTCTCCAAAGATGAGCTGTCTGCAGGTCTCCAGAGGAAGCTCATAGTCTTTTTCCAACACTAAAACATAATTAAAACACGTGAACAGGAATATGACTTTATAAAGCACTTGTTTTGAAGAGACTATACAGACAGGAACCAGAAGCAAACATATTTGTTTACTAATATCATTACAGGAATACTGTTTTTGCAGATGTATTTTGTCACGAATGATTTATTCTGAAACTGAATATGTCTGATAATAGGGTGTTTATCCCATGTCAAATAAAAGAGCTTTAGGCAACTGATATGAATGGTAGTGTAAAAATGAAATCAAATAGTTGAAATTAATTTTTAAAGTCTAAAAAGTTGCTTTTGTAGTTTTGTCTTCTAGTGGGTGACTATATACAGTATATTGCAGCTTGAGTTTATTCTAGGTGGCAGTAAAAGACACTTCCACCTTGTGGCCATTAATGGAACAGCAACCATGTTTGCTTGACTGAAAGCTTGTGTTAAACGTGTAAATCCTGACCTGAATTCATCAGATTCATGAATTGCACAGCATTCACTCTATCATCCTGGAAAGTGAAAACAATTACATATTTAGTTGTATTTACTGAATTCCACAAATATTCACACGCTAGATTGTGACTGGATGGGATTGAAATGCTTACAGATCCAGCCTTTTCATCAAACCACTTCTGCACCCTAAACTGGTCCTCGGGTAAGGCTGGCTTTGACATGACCATCTATGGACACACAACATGCAGTCAGTTACACACATAATAATATCATATTTACGCTCAGACGGTTGTTCTTCTTTCTCATTTCAGTCAGTGCATGACATGTCTTACCACAGAGTAGTTGTTGGTGCAGGGGAAATCCTGGAATCTGTAAAGCAGATTTGAAACTTTCATACGGTTAACCACTGGACAGACATAAACACATCATCACAACAGAGAGCTGACTTGTTTGTACCCCTGTATGTTGCCGGTTTTGGTGTAAATGCGGAGGAAGAACTCCCCCTGCTGGTTGGGCCTGAAGGTGGAGGCTAGGATCACATAGTTTCCAGGCTCCAGGTGAACCTTCCTCCACACGCTCCTGATGCTCCGGTACTTTCCAGAGCGAGCCACCGCACGGTTGTTGGAGAAGAACTGCTGGTCCAGAGATCCTGGTTTTTCCTGTAGCTAAATGTAGAAAAGATGTGAAAGAGCGTGTATACGTTTTTATCTCAATAGCGCCGTCATGTATTAAGAAATGTTTTAGACGAGTGTTTTATATTCACTATTCATTGAGCCGCTCACCTCAGAGGGGACCTGAAAGAGAGAACGAAGAGGTAAGATGAGGGGGAACTCAAGTAGCGGCCTTTAAAGGAGTAGTTCACTTTAAAAAAAAAAACTTTTGCTGATAATTTACTCATCCCCATGTCATCCAAGATGTCCACGTCTTTATTTCTTCAGTAGAAAATAAATTAAGGTTTTTTTCTCCATATAATGGACTTCAATGGGAACCAAACTGTTCAAGGTCCAAATGAGAGTTTCAGTGCATCTTTAAAGGGCTTTAAACGATTCCAGACGATGAATAAGGGTCTTATCAAGCGAAACGATCGGCCATTTAATAAATAAATAAAAAAGTTTAAGTTTTATAAGCTCAAATGCTCGCCTTGCTCTATTCTGTGATGCGCGTTCGTGACTCTCCTGTTCGAACTCGTTCATCAAAGTGAACGAATCTTTTCCAAAGTCAACTCGTTAATTTCGTTCGTTGAATGAACGAAGTGACACGAAAAAAGATTCGTTCATTTTGAAAAGCAAGTTCGAACAGGAGAGTCACGAACGCGCATCACAGAACAGAGCGAGGCGAGCATTTGAGCTTATAATTTGTTTTTTTAAATAACCGATCATTTCGCTTGATAAGACCCTTATTCATCGTCTGGAATCGTTTAAAGACCTTTGAACAGTTTGCAGTTTGCACTGAAGCTGTCTTTTGGACCTTGAACCGTTTGGTTCCCATTGAAGTCCATTATATGGAGAAAAATGCTGGAATGTTTTCATCAAAACCTTAATTTATTTTCAACTGAAGAAAGAATGACATGGACATCTTGGATGACATGGGGGTGAGTAAATTATCAGCAAAAGTTTTTTTTAAAGTGAAACTACTCCTTTAACCAAAAACAAATATTTTGTTAACTTGTCTTCAACCAAAGTTTACTCTTTTGTAACAGGTTCCTTACGCCGTCTCTAAAGGTTAAAGACCCTCATAATTATCTTACCTTGTAGATGTGAAATGCGATGTAGAGGAAGTTGATTTTATCTTTCTGTCTGCGGTATTTCTGGAGAAGCTCCACCAGGATCGTGCACTTCTTCTTTTTCTCTCCCTGTTTCCCAGTCTTGCTCACAGGAGCCACTAAACTGACGTCTTCATCCTCTTCTCCATCCGCTTCCTCCCCTTCCTCATCCTCTCCATAGTCATTGTCATCCACATCTTTCTCAGACAGAATCATCTGGAACTGAGGGTTTTTCCAGAAAGATCCTGCAGGGATGAAATATAAAGAACGAACACAGGGAGAAGCAGACGAAGAAATTACACTAAAAATATTCTTAGAGCAAATAATTAATGCTGGAAAAATAACCAAACATTTACTTTATTATTGTCTGAGTGTACATTATATTATATTATATTATATTATATTATATTATATTATATTATCACATTCTGATCTTTTTTGACTCCAAGGACCCTCAATAAAATATTGTAAAGCTTGGCATAACTAGAAAAACATGAATGTATGCTTATTATAAAAATGCCCATGGATTTTAGCGAGATTTTATTAATTTACATTACATTTCCAGGTCTAGAAATAACACTTTTAAAATTACACTATGCACTATTTAATTGATATTATATTATATTATATGTTGTGTTGTATTATATTATTTTAGATTATGTTATATTATATTATTTAATTAATTATATTCTATTCTATTATGTTATAGGTTGAATGGGCTTCTATATAGAACACTAGTGTTCTTGACTCAATTTTAAAGAACCCTTAATGCTAAAAAAGGTTCTATATAATGACAAACTGCATTATACTTTTAAGTTTAATAAGTTATTTCAATTATTTTCTAGTGATAAAGTATATTTACAAGCCGTTTATTTTACAAAATGTAATTAAAATAAAAAAAAATTATTAAAAATTTGAATTAAATCATATTCTATATAGAACCTTCTCTTCTAAGAGTGCGGGAATACTAGAAACCCTTGTTCCCCCCCAAAAATAAAGAGATATCTCGATTTCAATTATTTTATTGTTTATTGTTTTGTTTAATGTTTTGTCTAAATCATTTTAAGTCATCTTGAGACCCCCTTAGAAGTTCTCTGAGGCCCCCTAGTGGGATGAGAGCCGTTTTATAGACTTCTTCATAATAAAGATGCACTTACTGGGGTATTTTCGGCAGCCCCCTGCAGAGCACATTGGGACCCAGGAGCCTTGATGTGTGCTCAGTGTCCAGGACGGGGTGGCCGTGTCATCACTCGCCTCCCCCGACATTGAGTCCGGATTCACACTGCACATTTCCACTGTATTAAACAGACGGCAAAAGTCCTCTACTCCAATCCTGAAAAACACAAGCGCTTATGAACGCGAGACACAGGCAGACTTTAACTAGATGGCCTATTAAGGGATGTGTTGACTGCAGTGGCAATTAGTATTAGTAGTGTTATATAATTCATTGCATTTAAAGAAATAGTTCACTTTAAAATACATTTTTGATATGTTTTAGCTTTTTTTATGCAGTATTTTAAATTTTGATATTTTTAGGTCAAACCGTTTTTGTCTGTCAGTCATATAATGGAGGTCTATGGTCACCACCTCAAAGAGCACGCACAAAGAAGTCCAAATTAAACATGATTTAATGACTCGTAAATGTAAGTACACATTGATGGCCTAAGACACGAAACGAGCGGTTTGTGTGAGAAAACAAACAGTATTTATATCGTATTTAAAGCGCCCGTGCCTTCAGATCACTTGGACGTGGCTGTGATTACAAGAGGTAAAAACGATATAAATACTGTTCGTTTTCTCACACAAACCGCTCGTTTCGTGTCTTAGGCCATCAATGTGTCCTTACATTTACGAGTCATTAAATCATGTTTAATTTGGACTTCTCTGTGCATTCTTTTTGAGGTGGTGACCATAGACCTCCATTATATGACTGACAGACAAGAACGGTTTGACCTAAAAATATCAAAATAGAAACAACTGCGGAAACAAAGACACCTACATCTTGGATGCCCTTGAGGTAAGCTAAAACATATCAAAAATTAATTTCAAAGTGAACTATCCCTTTAATTGACTTAGGTTTGGGAACGCTCCACAATATTAATAGATAGAGAGAGATATATGAGTGTTTGTAATACAATCTGGTTGCGTCTTCAGTTAATGATCAGGCTGTTTTGATTTTTGACGTTCTGCAGAGCTACTAAACAACTTTATTTTCCCCATTTGTCTGAAATACAAGGTTTTTATTTTACAAATATATGTTTATGGGCATGTCCCAAGATGCACACCTACAGGAGCCCCTGTTTGGCTGTATGAACAGTGGGAAAGTGTCTTGTATACCTACCAGAATTCTCCATCTTCAGCTTTGGCCAACTCAAGTTTGGCCTTCTGAGCATTGTCTATAGAGTCCCAGTCTTTACACCTGCACACACACAAACACAAGTGCCCAGTGTTTACACCCACACACACACACACACACACACACACACACACACACACACACACACACACACACACACACACACACACACACACACACACACACACACACACACACACACACACACACACACAAACACAAGAGCCCAGTCTTTAGAGATGCAGTGCTGGTAACTCAATGATCTGCTGAAGTCTTTCTCACTTGTCACTCCAGGGTCCACAGTACTCAACAAACCCCCAGGGGTTACGCAGCCTCAGCAGGAACACCTCTTCAGACGCCTTCTGGACCTTCACACACACATTGGGTTTCCATGTTTTATGGGGATTTATAAGCCGTTTTCCTCATTGGGGATCAAAAATTATCCCCACAATGTCAAAGATTTCTGGTTCTCCTACTTTCTGGGAACATTTTGTCCTCACAACATAGCCAGCACACACACACACACACACACACACATAGTGTTTTCATGTTTTATGACTTTCCATAGATGATGAATATATACTATACAAACTGTATATTCTCTCCCCTTACACTTTTTTTCATTTTTACATTTTCAAAAAACATCACTTAGTATGATTTATAAGCTGTTTTCCTCATGGGCACCAAAAGATGTAGGGTTTATCAGGCGTCACAAACACACACACACACACACACGCACATTTGATAAATCATTAAATAAACTGTTACGACACATCCAGATCATATTTCACTAAAAAAAAAAAAAAAAAATTTCTTTGAGAAATTCCTACAGTGCTCATGTTCCTGAATTTGTGTATGTGTCCAATTCTCATACCTTCTCTGTATCAGTGATGGCATAAGCATGACCTTTGATGAGACCCTCTGATGTCACAATGCCAATGTCCTTCACACTGGTAGCCTGCACACAAAACACACAGTATGAACACACCCTGCTGAAAGATCCAGCATACAATTGCATGTTGGTCCAGACTGGTTTATGCTGGTTAGATCCTATAGTGTAGTACAGTGTATACTCCAGTCTCAATCTCAAGCTAAACTGATGTGTCCATCAGGACCCCTTCTTCACACGCTGGTCCTATAGCATGCAAAACATACCTTATTTAAGACAGCAGGGAAATCATGGATAGGATTGGGAATATGTGGATATGTGTCTGTACATGTATGAAGCAGCTGATCAGACTGCTCCTGGCCAGGGCAGCGGTGATGGCTTTCCAGAGCATGCGTGGGGGTCGAGAAGACACCGGGAGGGAGTAGGCGATACCCCCCGTGAAATCCTCCATTCCCTCGGAGATAATCCCCCCTTTCAGACTGCCATAAGATCCAATCAGCCTTTAAGAACAGAAAGATAGAGACACACACATTACACTCTCAGAAAAAAGGTACGAAAGCTGTCACTGGGGCTGTACCTTTTCAAAAGGTACACTTTTGTCCATTTTATGTACTAATTTGTACGTTTTATGTGCTAATATATACATTTTATGTGCTAATATGTACATTTTTGGTGCTAATATGTACATTTCAAGTGCTAATATGTGCATTTTAAGTGTTGATATGTACATTTTAGGTGCTAATATGTGCTAATATGTAAATTTCAGGTGTGAATATATATATTTCAGGTACTAATATGTACATTTTAAGTGTTGATATGTTCATTTTAGGTGCTAATATGTACCATTAAGGTACCAATATGCACCCTTACGGTACAAAAGTGTACCTTTTAAAAAGGTACAGCCCCAGTGACAGCTTTTGTACCTTTTTTTCTGAGAGTGTAATAATTGGCTTCTATTGGTTGGATTGATTCCACATGAATTAGTCCATTTGCTTTGTATTTGATGATTTTCACAACTGGATGTTTTTTTCTAAAAATATCAGTCCTTAAATAACACAAAGGAACAATGGCCAGTGTTACTAATGAATAGACTCAGGCCCACGCATTCGAGGACACATATGCTGGAACTGACTTGGCATAAGCTTTCTCCACCAGGGCGCTCCAGAACTCGTTGGTGGTGCGAGAGTAGCTGAAAAGCAGACGGCCCTCTCTCACAGGCAGCCTGTCATCCACTACCACCTCCACCCACTCACCATACTGCCAGAACTACACAGAGAGAGAGAGAGAGAGAGAAAGAGAGAACAGGGTTACACTTGCTCTGTACAAGCACATTCGGATGCTGATGCACCTGAAAAAGGCTCTCCAAAGTATCTTTTCAGTTTGGGCAAATTTCCTCTGTTTTAAATGAGTCAGATTAGGAGAAGCAAACAATTACTTTAAAAATCGCACTACCATTAAAAAATGGGGGGTTGGTAAGATTTTGTTTTTATATAAGATTATTTTTAGATTAGTTGGTAAGATTATGTTTTTATATTAAAAAAAGAGTCTTATGGTTGCAAAGGCTGTATTTTTTTAGAACAAAAAAAGTAAAATTGTGAAATATTATAATTTAAAAGGTACACATCTAACAGTTAAAGGGATACTCCACTTTGTTTGGAAATAGGCTCATTTGAACGGAGTAGAAAATGGTAAAACCCAACAGTTTGACTCTGGGGGAGTTCACTTTTGAAAAACTTTTGCTGATAATTTACTCACCCCCATGTCATCCAAGATGTCCATGTCTTTCTTTCTTCAGTCGAAAAGAAATTAAGGTTTTTGATGAAAACATTCCAGGATTTTTCTCCATATAATGGACTTCAATGGGAACCAAAGGTTCAAGATCCAAAAGACACTTTCAGTGCAAACTGCAAACTGTTCAGAGGGCTTTAAACAATTCCAGATGATGAATAACGGTCTTATCAAACGAAACGATCGCTCATTTAATAAATAAATAACAAAGTTTAAGTTTTATAAGCTCAAATGCTCGCCTTGATCTGTTCTGTGACGCACCTTTGTGACTCTCCTGTTCATCAAAATGAACAAATCTTTTTACGAGTCAATTCATTAGTTTTGTTCATTGAATGAACCAAATGACTCAGAAAAAGATTTGTTCATTTTGATTAACGAGTTCGAACAGGAGTCACAAACGCACATCGCAGAACAGAGCATTTGATCTTATAAAACTTAAACTTTGATATTTATTTTTTAAATGAGCGATCATTTCGCTAGAAAAGACCCTTATTCATCGTCTGGAATTGTTTAAAGCCCTTTGAACAGTTTGCAGTTTGTACTGAAACTGTCTTTTGGACCTTGAACCGTTTGGTTCCCATTGAAGTCCATTATATGGAGAAAAACCTGGAATGTTTAATCAAAAACCTTAATTTCTTTTCGACTGAAGAAAGAATGACATGGGCATCTTGGATGACATGGGGTGAGTAAATGATCAGCAAAAGTTTTTTTTATAAGTGAAACTACTCCTTTAATGCATCCTTGCCGAATAAAAAAAAAAGGGGTAATTTCATTCTTTCTTTAAAAACAACAAAAAATCGGACCCAAAACTTTTAAACGATAGTGTGCTTTAATTTGCATTAAATTAAAGGCACAGCAACATAAAGGCACAGCAACACAAACAGAATATTAGGGTGTTTTTTTAGTACATTATTAATAAAGTTTTTTTTACACTTTACTAATATTAATAATGTATGTAATGAAACTGTATGAATGGCCATGAAGCTGAATACTTTGTGACTTTGTGAGACAGGCGAGAATGGACATGTCCGTCTGCAGGTAGCACTGCACTATGTGTGTGTGTGTGTGTCCACATGTCTGTGTCCATGTCCTTGGGCTACAGTTAACAAGCCTAGACATTTCAGGAATCGTCCACCAATCAACAGTCCTCTAACTTCTCATTTCCCTCGTGTCACTCTCTTTCTTTCCTCACCTCTCTTTCCCTCCTGGATCAGGTCATGTCATGTTGCACATACCTGTTTAGCCTCCGAACGTAATACTACAACAGGTGGAATGTAATTATACAATGAGAATGGCAATAACAATTACATAACGCTGAGCACCCTTCCATAAGAGCTCTTCAGTGCTAATATGTTTTGATTGTTTAATTAACTGTGCTGTTATCTCACAAGTTTAACCTCAGTTCATAACCACGCACCACGAGAACTGTAGTGGCTTGTTTTATTGCAAGGCTTCAAGGTGAACCCTCTGAAACAAATAACACTGCAGTAATAATTACAGACAATTACAGACTCACTTTGTGCTTCAGAATGAAAAACCCTGGGGAGTACTGTAGTGAGAAAAATGTCGCAGGGTAATTTATTAATCATATATCCCGTGTCTCATTGTATAACAGCAACATGTTATTTAAAGATGCACATGAAAAAGTGAACAGCTTGTTTTGTATGGGTTTTTTTTACATGGTGTTTGAGGTGAAATTTGTTAGTGAACTTATCGAAGTCTAAAAATATATATCATACTTGAAATCATAGAATTGTGATAGAATTATGCATTAGTAAATGTTTTTGTTTTTCTAATTTACAATATAGTTATGTACCTATTATTTTCCTCTGTCTCATTTATCTTTTTCTAGAGAAATATATGAACAGCTTGTAACGAAACTTAAAAAAACGAGACCTTCGCCGACTTCCTAGCTTGAAAGCTTATAGACTGATTTTTATGTCATTTTTGCCGGGAAAATCATAAAATGGATTATTAGGAACACCTGTTCAATTTCTCATTAATGCAATTATCTAATCAACCAATCACATGGCAGTTGCTTCAATGCATTTAGGGTGTGGTCCTGCTCAAGACAATCTCCTGAACTCCAAACTGAATGTCAGAATGGGAAAGAAAGGGGATTTAAGCAATTTTGAGCGTGGCATGGTTATTGATGTCTGAGTATTTCACAATCTGCTCAGTTACTGGGATTTTCACACACAACCATTTCTAGGGTTTACAAAGAATGGAGTGAAAAGGGAAAAACATCCAGTATGCGGCAGTCCTGTGGGCGAAAGTGCCTCGTTGATGCTGGAGTGATTAGAGCCGACTGATTCAAGCTGATAGAAGAGCAACTTTGACTGAAATAACCACTCGTTATGCAGCAAAGCATTTGTGAAGCCACAACACGCACAACCTTGAGGCGGATGGGCTACAACAGCAGAAGACCCCACTGGGTACCACTCATCTCCACTAAGGCTACAATTTGCAAGAGCTCACCAAAATTGGACAGTTGAAGACTGGAAAAATGTTGCCTGGTCTGATGAGTCTCGATTTCTGTTGAGACATTCAGAATTTGGCGTAAACAGAATGAGAACATGGATCCATCATGCCTTGTTACCACTGTGCAGGCTGGTGGTGGTGGTGTAATGGTGTGGGGATGTTTCTTTTGGCACACTTTAGGCCCCTTAGTGCTAATTTGGCATCGTTTAAATGCCATGACCTACCTGAGCATTGTTTCTGACCATGTATAACCACCATGTCCCCATCCTCTGATGGCTACTTCCAGCAGGATAATGCACCATGTCACAAAGCTCGAATCACTTCAAATTGGTTTCTTGAACATGACGATGAGTTGACTGTACTAAAATGGACCCCACAGTCACCAGATCTCAACCCAATAGAGCATCTTTGGGATGTGGTGGAACGGGAGCTTCGTGCATGGATGTGCATCTCCATCAACTGCAAGATGCTATCCTATCAATAATGGCCAACATTTCTAAAGAATGCTTATTGAATCAATCCCACGTAGAATTAAGGCAGTTCTGAAGGCGAAAGTCAAACACACTATTAGTATGGTGTTCCTAATAACCCTTTAGGTGAGTGTATAAGTGCAGCTTTTTTTAAGTATGTTTATCTCTCTGGTTGTTCCTGCTCAGTAACAAGATGGACCGGATTCCTGAGGGGTGGACAAATTAAGAACTATTCTGGCTGTTTGCTCTCAATAACAGTGAAAACATGTAGGAAAACATGAAAGTTGGCAACTTTAGGCTCACTGTAATCATTCCAAACTTTGGATTTTATTGACCAATCTGACCATTATTAGATTAAGGCCAAAGTTTTAAGGCTGACTTTAAAGGGGCCTGCAACAAATATACAAACAGAAACATAATGTTCTTTCTCTGGAAATGAAAACCAGACAACTGAATTATGATAATTTTTGCCATGTTTAAAGGGGGAGGGACATGCAGATGTACATGTCATCGGGACAAAGGGAAGATGACAGGAGCTGTTTCTGGAATGAACCTCAGCTGTTAGTGATGGTAAGGTCAAAGAAGACTGATTTTAATTACCATTCCTGAGAACGTCCAAATCTAGACGCATAAGCAGACATTCAAACGAGGATATTAAATTGTAGCCTGATTCGACCCTCCCTCAAAATCAAATCCCCACTTGGACTATAAAAAACAGACGCTTTGTATAAAATTCATGGTTTCTTTCATGCTTTGCACATTGGAATGTTGATGGGACTATTTTTTCTAGCGGAAGGAAGGCTTTTAGTGATTTTACTTCATGAAAGTTGCACTAATACATTTTTTTTTTTTACTTTAATATTTTTATTGTGTGGTAACCGTTTTATAAAAGCAATAAGGTACTCATGGCAAGTGCTGTATTGTGAATAAGTGATGGCGTTGTTAGGCTCGTACCTTATTGCTTCCATAATAAGATTAAATACCGGTAGTAACTGTGGAAGAAAAGCATGACGTATTTAACCATTTCAAAAGAATAATCTCGTGAGCGTCTTTTTTTATTGTCGATTTCGTGCTCTCCTTACCCTGAAACGGAAGATGCCAGCGTAGGATTCACTCAGGCTTTGTCCAGATGGAACCACTTTGACAAACAGAGTCGGGTGCATGGTGAGACAGGACAGGGCCGCCAGCAGCCAGCAGTTACCTGAAGCAGGACGCCAACACTGTTACACAATCCTCTCAACATTTATGTACAAACACATGACTACAGCCTCAAACATAAGGTGCAAGGTCAAGCTTTGAAGAAGCCGGAGACATGCTGTCTGTCACACACACTGAGACATTCCTCTGTAACAGGTAACAGATGTCCGTTTGCTACGTGTGGGGGACACAACACTTCACAAAAAACATACTTAAGCTCCCATAGGAATAACTCTACAACTGAGAACGTCCAATTAATCTTCCGAACGCAAGGAAACGGCCTGGATATGTTGATGTGGAAACTCGCTTCAAAACAAATAATTAAAATTTCTGCTTGAAGTGCTAAGAATAAGGCATTATTTGGGTAGATTTCCATTCAAATGAGATTATTTACATGCGTTTGTTATTCTAGAAATGCGTTGCGATGTTCATATATTATTTAGAGAGGCCATCCAAATCCTGAGTGGCAAACACACACTTGATTTAAGCACAGATCCGATTGCTTTGATATGAATGCAAGATGCCCACAGTTCATTATGAGAGCACACAAGAAAACTTACAAATGATGAGTTTCGCAATAAATGGTAACCAGATGCTCCTGTGACTTTTAAAAAAACTTGCAGATAATTTACTCACCCCCATGTCATCCAAGATGTCCATGTCTTTCTTTCTTCAGTCGAAAAGAAATTAAGGTTTTTGATGAAAACATTCCAGGATTTTCTCCATATAATGGACTTCAATGGGGACTAAACGGTTTAAGGTTCAAATGAGAGTTTTAGTGCAGCTTCAAAGGACTTTAAACGATTCCAGACGATGAATAAGGGTCTTATCTAGGACCCTTCAAGTCATGACTCGAAAAAAGATTCGTTCATTTCGATGAACAGGAGAGGAGAGTCACGAACGCTCATCAATGAACAGAGCAAGGCGAGCATTTGTGTGTATAAAACGTCATATTTTTTATTTAATTTTTTGAAATGAGCGATCGATTCGCTAGATAAGACCCTTATTCATCGTCTGGTGTCGTTTAAAGCTGCACTGAAACTCTCATTTGGACCTTGAACCGTTTGGTTCCCATTGAAGTCCATTATATGGAGAACAACCTGGAATGTTTTCAATAAAAACCTTAATTTCTTTTCGACTGAAGAAAGAAAGACAGACATCTTGGATGACATGGAGGTGAGTAAATAATCAGCAAAAATTTTTTTTTTTTCTTTTTTTAAAGTGAACTACTCCTTTAAATAGTACGGTGTCCTGGAGGACACCAAAAGAAAAGCAGATGGTAAATTATGTGTGAACGGGACCTATGTGAAAACATGAAATGTAGGGCAGTGGAATAACCCTAACCCAACCCTCATACTAACCCTTACCCTATAGTAAGTACATGTAGCTAATTAGGCTATCATTACTTTTTTTTTTCGAATTCTTTGATTTTGCGGTACATTTATGTCAAATGAAACACTGAACTCATTCAGCAAACACTTATCATATAAGACTTCGTCATGTAAAGTATGATTTCACTGTATTAGGTCCGTCAAACGATTAATCGCGATTAATCGCATCCAAAATAAAAGTTTGTGTTTAAATAATATATGTGGGTGCACTGTGGATAATTATTTTACATATATAAATACACACACATGCTTGTATATATTTAAGAAATATTTTCATGTATATAGATTTATATTATATATAAATAATATTTTTTTTCTTAAATATACATGCATGTGTGTGTATTTATATATATACAAAATAATTATACACAGTGCACCCACATATAATGTGTAAACACATCGCGCATTAATCGCGATGAATCGTTTGACAGCCCTACACTGTATTGTTGAGTTTAAAAGGCACACATTTGATAAAGAGGTACTTGACCCTTTCTGATGGGTCTTTTGGCGTACATAAGGTTGGGAAACACTGAATAAAGCCGAGTATGTAAATGTTGAACATTGTACGTCAACAAAAACACTTTCCATATGCACCAAATCAATGGCATATGTGCAGAGGAAGAGAGAGGCAAAACAATAAAACAATCCCCGCTGTGCACAATGATTGTTATTCTTTAGGTGGGTGGAAACGGGGGACGGGTGAGGGAGGGGTACAGATAATGCCAATCCAACCTCTCGCTCCCTCCTTCTTCCCTCTGCTTTCATCCCTCCCCGTCTCTGGTACATTTGTGGTGTTTTTGATGAGCGTTGCCTGCGGCGGCTCGTGTTGCGTCTCTCAGCAGGGACTCCGCGCAGTGTCTCGCGGCTACGAGGGCTACAATAGGGATAGTACATTAAGCATGATGAGGAAGATCTGGGTGGAGGAAGATGGGGGAGGGCATCTGCATGATAAGGAGAGGAAGAGTAGGAGCGCTGCCAAAGACGGATATTTCTCTGATAGCCCTCGTGCCTCGAGGGTACTTACGGGTGATTTGGTTTCTGAGAGGTGCAGAAAGGCGTTATCCCATTATCCTGGCATGAAATATGAACAAGCGTGCGCTAACACGAGCATGCACTCACCCAGCTGGCCCTGGCAGATATCGGTGGTGCCCATGGTGCCCTCAACAAAGACAGCATTACTGGTGATTTCCTGAGGAGGGGGAGAGGAGATGGGTGTGAGCCAAAAACAATTTGCAAGTACACGCGATGGGTTGATCAGAACATCTGAAAGCATATTCATGAGTAGGAGAACTACAACTTTTCAGGTTCTGGGTCTTAAAGGGATAGTTCACCCAAAAGATGAAAGATTCTGTCATCATTTACTCACCCTCGTGTCATTTCAGACGTCTTCTGCTGAACAAAAGAGAAGATGTTTTGAAGAATGTTTGTACTGTTTAGTTTCCCATTGACTTCCATTGTATGGACACAAAAATTGAATTGAAGTCAACGGGAACTGAAATGCTGAAACATTCTTCTAAATATCTTCTTTTGTGTTCCACAGAGAAAAGAAGTTTGGTAACGCTTTAGATTACAGACCAGAAAGTACTGTGTAATTAAGAGGAATTTACAGTGTAACTTTCTGTAATTATAATACATACATAATGTAAGTATAAGGGAACAATATGTAAAGTTTGGGTAACAACTAGGAGAATTAAAAAAATAAATATTATAAAACTAAGGGGTACTTATTCTACTATTATGATAATACAATCGTACATTTGGGAGCAATTTAGCGAGAACATACATTGCGTAGCTTTTTGTAATAATTGTGTACTAATTCATAGTGTAGGCTTTTTAGAAATGACAGGGTACATATCTATGCATTTATATAAAAAATATATATTATTATTATTATTTTGAGAGAAAAAGTGCAGATGTTTATGTTTGGTGCAGATTTTTTTTTTCTTTGATAGCAAAAGTGCAGATGTTTAAGCTTTTTTTATAATCCGTTTAACTTTTCTGTCTGTTGATTCTACTGAATGTGTTGTTGTCATATATTCTTTAACTATAAATACATTCAAAAAGTGGTTGAAAATAATGCAGATTGCAAATAATGACCCTATAAAGTTCTGTGGGCTTTACTAGCTCATATTATCAATGACAATTCCTCCTGTTTTCTGTATCACTCCCTCATGTGTCTTTTAATTAAATAGTAGGCTAATTTATTGTAAAATATGGTCAATAATTACTCTTATACACAGTAAAAAAGATCAATAAGTTATGAAAAAATATGTTTTTTTACATTGCTTAATGTAATTAAGTTGACATGATTTAAAACATCCAAGTTAATTGAACTCTATTTAAGGCAGCAACTTTTTCTCACAGTGTATGCCGTTACCAATTCAATCAATCTGCTGTATATTAAAGGCATAGAAACAATCGGATCCTATAACATTCTTTCTGGAAAATCAAACCCTTCTGGTGATTAAAAAGACCATTCATGATCAGTTACCTTTGGGCGCAGCCACTTTACTGCCTTCTTAGGATCAGGATCCGCAGGAATCCCGAGGGAGCTTTGGTTCGCTGCAAACACCGTGTCTGAGAAGAGAATGGCAGATTTGAGACACTTCTGCAACAGGGAGTCATAGTCTTGATCCTTGAACTTCACCGGATTATCAATGGAGCCAAACTCAGACATCTCTTCAGAATCAGATCGCGACAGTCACCCACACAGTTGTGCTCAACTTTCTGAATCTGGGATTTAGCTCAGAAAAGTTTGGAGATGTAGGCTACATCCCACCCTATCCCAAATCCCAATCCCCACCCTCCCGAGTTTACGGGCCTGGGAGGTGTAGAAACCTGAGACGTAAAATAGCCTATATGATGTCAGACAATTGTCGTCCCTGGTTGCGAAATTAATCGATAGTCGTGCTAATATTTAGATAATCTGTTATTAGCAAATGAAATACGTTTCGATATCAACATAGCAAGCCCTTGAGGGATATTTTGTGGGCTAAAAAATTAAAAGATAGGTGTCGACGAACATATTTTTACTTATACAACCGGCAGTTTTATTTAAACGAACCAACAAATTAACATCTGGTTTGTTTGTGAAATAACACATTCACCACTAGATGGCACTGCGATGTCATTACCTCAGTTATGACAGGATCCAGATTCCAGAATAAACACGTTAAACCCTAATTCTTCCCAGCTATGTTTTAATCTTACGGTCTATGGTTTTTTTTTAACGACCTCCGTACCTTTTCTATTTAAAAAACAAAACAAAAAACATAACCGCACTGCAGAGTCATTCATTATTGCATAAAAATCCAATTAGAAAGGAAGTGTGAAAGGAAGTGTTTATTTTTTAAGGAAGTGATGATCAAATAAATGTGTAATTTATTTATTTTTGCCCTTTTGTTTCATTTGATGTTTAAATTGTTTTTCAATCTACTATTATGACGTTTAGGCCTACTTCCCTATAACGAGTTTTGACCAGACAGTGGTCATGTCCGAAACCGAAGGCAAATGCCTGTCACTCAAGTGAGCTTTAGAGCTTTAGAGAACTAAGAAAATGTTTGATTACAATGCTTATTTCTAGATAGAAATGAAGTCATAAATAAATAAAAAAATTAAAGCCTATCCATTTTATGTAGCTGACTTTATTCTGAATTGTGACTTTTTTCCCACAATTCTGACTTTTTCCCCTTACAATTATTTTAAATCTCACAATTCTAACCCTTTTCTCGCAATTACGAGTTTATATCTTGCAATTATAACTTTTTTCTCGCAATTACGAGTTTATATATTGTAATTATTACTTTTTTCTCGTAATTACGAGTTTATATCTTGTAATTATTACTTTTTTCTTACAATTACGAGTTTATATCTTGCAATTATGACTTTTCTCGCAATTACTAATTTATATCTCGCAATTTTTACGTTTTTCTTGCAAATGCGAGTTTTTATCTCGCAATTATGACTTTTTTCTCGCAATTACAAGTTTATATCTTGTACTTATGACTTTTCTCGCAATTACTAATTTATATCTCACAATTTTTTCTTTTTTCTTGCAAATACGAGTTTATCTCGCAATTATGAGTTTATTTCTTGCAATTATTACTTTTTTCTTGCAATTACAAGTTTATATCTTGCAATTAGGACTTTTCTCGCAATTACAAATTTATATCTTGCAATTTTTACTTTTTTCTCGCAAATACAAGTTTTTATCTCGCAATTCTGACTTTTTTTCCTGACAATTACAAGTTTATTTCTTGCAATTATGACTTTTTCCCTGCAACCACAAGTTTATATCTAGCAATTATGACTTTTTTCCTTGCAATTACGAGTTTATGTCTCACAAATTATGACGTATTTCATGCAATTGGAGTTTATATTCCACAATTCTGAGAAAACAAACACAATTCAAGCATTTGATTCAGTGGTGGAAACAAACTTCCATACAAAACACTTTTGCTGTTATTAAGCTGTTATTAAATACGATTAGCACGGGTTTAGTGGTATAGGGTAGATTAAGGGGGGATTAAGGGGTATGAGAAGGATCAACAGTGTATTTATAGATGTAATTATAGATCTAAAAACATGTATGGACAAAATAAGTGCATGATATCAAATGATGTCAAGACACTTAATATGAAGTGGTTTGGTCACAAAAGTAAGCAGTGATATTAAATAGGTTCATTTAAAGCTAAACATAATGGAAATAAATCCATTTGTACCAATCAAATCACCTGACCTCAAAACAGTACATTACCTTTCTTTCACTGGCTGCCGGCGTCTTGCTAAAGACATTCAGACAAGCTTGCAGGGGCTAAATAAACGCCGCTCATAATGAGACGGATGTGAACAAGCGCTCACGAGTAACATGGTGTTATTGATGCTTATATGCTCTGTGAGCTACGTATGGTCTTTCAGTTAGAGAGGATTATGTGGCAACGACAAAGGTTGCTGACCCGCCCAGAACATGATTACACTCCTGGCACGTCCACGACCCCTACTGCTCCCACGACCCAAACCCAGAGTCTATCTGCTCACAGGCATCAATTAACACCAGTCGTTCCCAGGCACCGCAGTGGTGCCCGATGGAAGGATGCATGAAAAAAGGTCAGGAGGTCAATTACTCTAGTCTATATCTTGCTATTTAACTATACGTCGCTTCCAATCAGTATTTACTCTTTATATTTGTGTCTCCCTATTGCCCTCTCTCTATTTAAACGCATGCATATGTAGAAAGAACCGCTGTCCAAATGCTATTCAGTCACGCAATACATTCAAATGAATAGAAACACTTTACATTTACTCTGCTTTCCTGGAAGACACACCGAAAAAGGTGTAATTTTCTCAGGGGCGAAGGACAAGTCGGATTGATCCCTCAGGGCAGGTCACAGTATTGTGGACATGACAATGAGACCTGAGCTCTGCTCTGGAGTGAAGGCTAGTTTAACCAGTCTGTCCGTCCGGCGTCAGACGGCTGTTTTGACCTGTTTCTCGCTCATTGTGTGAGAGTAAAGGTCACCAGGTGCTGTGTGATTCCCCCCCCCCCCCCCCCCTCTTTCTCTCAGGATCACATGCAGATTGTTTGGGAGGTTATGAAGGAGTGTCAGAACAAAAGTGTGTGTGTGTGAGAAAGCATGTCTGGGAACGCAGAGGTGTTGTCTGGATTTTCTTTCACCTAATTTGTGTCGCATTTGTGCCACGGATAGAACAATGTAAAGTCTTACCACAGTTTACATACAGTCAGTTTCTCTATATAGATAATTTACCTTTCAAAAGTAAAAAAAATATATAATAATAACACTTATACTTGCCATAAATTGATCATAAGTGACATTATAAAGATTTCGGTCAAATAAATGCTGTTCTTGTGAACTTTCCACACAAATTTTAATCAGCTTGACTGTTTCAACATTGATGATAAAAATGCTTCTTGAGCGGAAAATCAGCTTCTGAAAGGTCATGTGACACTGAAGACTGGAGTAATGATGCAAAAACTAGCTAGGCTATAAATTCATTTTGAATTCTAAATTACATCAGTCAGTTATTATTGGTTTAAAAGCACTCGAACGCAACACACTGGTAAATACCAGTTCACAAGTGGAAAATATCATATTTTCCATAGCTCGTGAACGCACCATCAGTGGAAATCTAAAACATTTGTGAATGAACGCAAAAGCTCTAAAATATATATTTTCCCTCCCATCTCATATTTTTTTTCTACCGCCATGTCCCAAAGTTTAGGAGCTCCGTACTAAAGTGATGAAAAAAAAAAAAAGAGATCTGAGGGAAAATGATATGTTTATGCTTTAGTGAAATATATTTATTCCGTTCTACACTCTTAGAAGAAATGGTTCTATTTAGAACCAAAAATGGTTCCATCCCCCGCTTCATATATGGAACTCCAAAATGTTTTTTTGGTAAAAGGTTCTATTGGCCAAGTATGGAACCCCAGGGTTCTATATAGAACCCAGAGGAACCCTTTTTTTAAGAGTGTGTAGAACTTTTAGGGGTTCCAAATACGTAGCGCTGATAGAACCTATATAGAACCTTTTCTTCTAAGAGTGTACGTGATTTTGTTTTTGGAGAAAAATAATTGATGATTGGATTTGGTTTGGAATGATCACATTGAAATGAAAATATGAAATTCCTAACCTCTTCCACCACCCACCGCCGCTGGGAATGTGGTCGTTCTGGAGCATCACCAGTAACAGGATTATCATCACCCTGTTTTTTGTGGTGAGATGGTCATGTTTTAAGCCTTATTTGTGGCTGGTCCCTCCATCCAGCACAGCATTAGTGGACAGCTGGACTGTTGTGTTCCTCTCACATGCAAGGCCACGACAACATCACTGAGGCAGGGGGTAATTTTAGGGTTCAGGTTTCTCTCTGTGGTCCTTGCGGAGGAAAGGAGGGACGTTAGCACAAGGAGGAGGAGGAGATATTGGATGCAGGGTTGTGAACAAGGATAAAAAAACACTTGAGAGCTTTTCTGTGGTTTATCCATTCACTCAATCTTCTTTTGCTCATTCCCTCCATCTCATTCATGCTGTCACACCAGAATTGTTCCTGTGGGAAGAAAGACGAGGAGTTCAGTGGCACTTCTTTATAAAATGTAATTAACAGGTTTTTGAAATCTAAAATGATAGTTCTCTATATCATATTTTTTATATTTACTGCCTTTATTAAAAGGAGTAGTTCACTTTAAAAAAAAAAACTTTTGCTGATAATTTACTCACCCCCATGTCATCCAAGATGTCCACGTCTTTCTTTCTTCAGTCGAAAGAAATTAAGGTTTTTGATGAAAACATTGCAGGATTTTCTCATAATGTTCTTTTTTAGCAATCTTTTTTCGAATCATTTTGTTCGTTGAATGAGCCAAATGACTCGAAAAAGATTTGTTTGTTCTGATGAACGAGTTCGAACAGGAGAGTCACGAACGCGCATCACAGGACAGAGCAAGGTGAGCATTTGTGCTTATAAAACTTTTTAATTTATTTTTGAAATGACCGATCATTTCGCTAGATAAGACTTTTATTCATCGTCTGGTGTCGTTTAAAGCCCTTTGAAGCTGCACTGAAACTCTCATTTGGACCTTGAACCGTTTGGTTCCCATAGAAGTGCATTATATGGAGAAAAATCCTGGAATGTTTTCATCAAAAACCTTAATTTCTTTTCGACTGAAGAAAGAAAGACGTGGGCATCTTGAATGACATGGGGGTGAGTAAATTATCAGGAAAAGTTTTTTTAAAAGTGAACTACTCCTTTAAGCTTGTCCAACAGTACACCTCTGTTGTTCCAAACCTGCATGACTTTCTTATACTGTTACAGAAAATATTTTGAAGAATGTCAGTAACCAAACAGTTGATGGACCCCTTTGACTTCCATGGTATATTTTCTCATACTATCCTCAGCAGAAGAAAGAAACTCATACAGGTTTGTGTAAATGATGACAGAATTTTCATTTTTGAGTGAACTATCCCTTTAAGAGCCATTTAGCACAACCCTAATAATGCAGTGATATGCAGCGATTGATCTACTATCTGTAAATCTACCGGTCCCCAACCGTCTTACTATTCATATCAGGTTTCATGAGAACTGGTATTGCATCTTTTGATCTTGGAAACAGTTCCAGTGGAAGTCCATGACCTCTAGAGAGTTTGCTGTGTTACTGCAGAGGGCCTGCAAATATTGTCTGATCTGAAACAAAAACATTTGTGGAAAAGCATAACAGTAAGTGCTAAAAATACACTATTGAGGTTAAAAATTCAGCTAAATGTTGTTTCTCCTATTGTATTTTTTACATGAAATTGTTAATAATCATTTGATGAAAAATGAACTAATAGCTATTTAATACTACAGTGTTATCATAACAATTATCATATAAAAGTTAAAATATAATTATAAATAAAAAAGTATAATTTATACATAACTTATAAATAATAAAATCGATGAAAATCTCAATTAAATACATGTACCCGTATACTAACCCATCCAGGTGATAAATCATACAAAAATATTATTTTAATGAATATGGCTGAAACATCACAACACAAATGTAAAATATTTATAAAGTATAATGCAAATATATGAAAAATAAATAACATTGCAGATGATAAATAAATATGAATAAAAAGTATTATTTTTATGCATATGAAATGTAATCCTCAAAACCCAAATCTAAAATTATTTATAAATAATAAAACACATTATGGAAAACCACATTAAAAAAATCAATATTATTTTAGATTTAAACATCATAACACAATATGTAAATATGAATATGGTCGTGTTAAAAGATCTGCTTTATACAACAGCACTGTAAAAAAATATTTTCATGATTTGTAATCATTATACTCATTAAACATTATTTCTTTAGTCAAATCAACTTAAATAATTCATGTAGTTCAGATAACATAATATTTTAAGTTTCTGCTGATTAAATCAATCACCTTCTTGTATTAACTCAATTTTTCCATTTCAATCAACTTAAAATTTTAAGTTAAACCAACAATATTTTTTACTCTATCCAAAGGGACGTTGGTCTGATTTCTGTCAATATCTCCCGTTAAGAACGTCTTGAGAGCGTTGTGAAGACGAGGTAAATTACTAATGGCTACGAATAAATCAATTAAGACAAAACTTTCCCGTTTTTCACCCGGAAACAGTAGTTATTGTGGTCTGTGCTTGAACTCAAAACACACCTCAAAGTCCACGTGCATCTGCAGGTCTGAACGGTCACTTACCCGTCACCACGCCCTGACAGGAACGGGACGTCGTGATTGGTCAGTGAAGATAAACACAGGCCAGTCCTGTGTGCAGAGTAAAGGTGCAGAGGCGGCCGAAAGAGACAAAGGGCACCTGGGAATGTTTTCATCAGCCAGAGGCCATCTTAGCTCGCAGAAGCTCGAGTTACATTATGCAATTGGGACCGTGCGCTGAGGTGGGTGTACGCAGGTCCCATGGGCGATCACCTGTGAATCAGAGAATCAGGAATTTCTTCTCAACTACAAGTCGTAAATGGCGCTTTAGAGCCCTCCCTTACGCCTCGCTATCTTTCTCTCGTCCTCCGAAACGGGGATAATTGGAGATGGGGTGAGAGCTACATATGGTCCCTTCAATACAACCTCCCCCAGCCCAGGCTGAAAGCTCATTAAAAAGGTTGCTTGTTAATGAGCTATAGGGATCATAGAGCGTCCCACTCATTAGAGGGGCCAGAGATACAGGCGTGAAGGTTTCGATACAAAAGAAAAAGCGCTGTTAAGATGACTCCGCTCCCCCACCCATTTCAATCCCAGATCTCCTTCCCGGCTTTGTGTTTTCGCACTTTCTTAGACGAGTAATCGACCTGACAATCTGGTGTTTTCCATCAAACCCTGTTACTTGAAGGCCAACCTGAGTGACCCAGTGGTTTAGTCAGATATGACTGTACTACTAACGGACTATGACTCAACAACGATAGGCTCATCTGTGCAAATACTGCTGAATTCGTGATGTGATCCGAGACATGTAGCGACAGGTTAGACTTGCCGTCACACTTTCTGGTTCTCACATACTCAAACACACACACACACACACCCTCTGACTTTGCCTCAGTCTTTTAATTATCATAGAAATAGCCATAGAAATACAAAATACACAAAGTTGGTGGGCTACACAGGGATTTCCGGGAGAAATCACATATAAGACGTGACATTTCAATCAACAGAAATTATTAGAACAATATTCAGAGGACAAAAAGAGCTTTGTTTTTCGCTGCTCCCTGAAGAAACGGACACAACTGGATGTCCAACTGTTTTCACATTTGCTTATTAATACAAAACCATTGCTTATTTAAAAGGAGTAGTTCACTTCTCAAAAAACTTTTGCGGATAGTGTACTCACCCACTTGTCAGCCAAGATGTCCATGTCATTCTTACTTCAGTCGAAAAGAAATTGAGGTTTTTGATGACCACATTCCAGAATTTTCTCCATACAATGGACTTCAATGGGAACCAAACGGTTCAAGGTCCAAATGAGAGTTTCAGTGCAAACTGCAAACTGTTCAAAGGTCTTTAAACGACACTAGATGATGAATAAGGGTCTTATTAAGCGAAACGATCGCTCTTTTTTTTTTAAAAAAATAACAAAGTTTAAGTTTTATAAGCTCAAATGCTCGCCTCGCTCTGTTCTGTGATGCACGTTCGTGACTCTCCTGTTCGAACTCGTATATCAAAATGAACGAATATTTTTTCGTGTCATATGGCTCATTCAACGAATAAATTGACTCAGAAAAAGATTCGCTCATTTCGATGAACGAGTTCAAACAGGAGTCACAAACGAGCATCACACCCTAACCCTAACAGAGCAAGGTGAG